CCCCGCCCTCCCTTGCCCCCCTCCGACCCCCTCTCTCCAAGCCTCACAATTGCCATGCAGCTTTCCTGCCTTGGGGCCACAAATTCAACAAGGCACAACCTAAGAAACGTGACATGCATGTCCTATCCTATGTAAGATAGGCAGACGGCCATGCCTCGTCTGCCTCCCTGTGGCGATAGGGCCTCCCACCACATGGCATGGCGGTGAGTGCACGTCGCTCACTCCCTCACTCACTCACGCCCATTCCACCCACCCGGACAGGCTCCACGCGCAAGAGGTGGAAGTCCCCAAAGTCCACCTGCCATGCACGCCGGGCACGCACACACGCACATGCGTGACACGCAAATGCATGGTCAGTGTGGCGAGGAAACGACGGCGCAACTGGCACGTGGGGTTGTCAGTTGCGGGGGTTGTGGGGCATGCATGGTGCACAGGCAGGTCAAAAGGTTAAAAAGCTGCTAGGCTCTTGACAGCGGCAGAACGGGTGCATCAGGTGGGAGCAGGAGAGCGCGAGAAAAAAGGCGAGATAGGATAGAGCGAGCGCGCACCCAGAAGGCCGTGGGGTGTCTCTTGAGGTATGCCTCTCGCACTGCCGCCTTCTCACTCTCCTCCACCTGCCGTGACATGCAAGGAGGGGGGGATGAGCATGTGTTGCACCCGTTGCAAAGCAAGGCTGGGTCATGGTTGCGGATGCAGCAGAGGGAAGAAGAGGGTCGTGGCGAACAGCACAGCACACAGGCTTGCTGAGAGAGGGAGAGAGAGAAGCTGAAAGGGACACAACAAGCCGGTATGGTGCTGTGCTGGCAGGCAGGCAGGCAGCAGTGCAAGTGCAGAGCGAAGAAAGGGCTGCTGAGCAAACAAAGGGCCCCAGGTGCAAGCACATAACATAACAAGCACGTGGCGCCCTAGGTGCAGAGCGAACAAAGGGCTGGGTGCAGTGGCGGCGGCGGCGGCAGCAGCAGCAGCAGCCTTGCAGCAGGTACCAGGGTGGCGCGAGCAACAATGGTGACAACAGTGTCGCTGGTGACAAGCGGGTTGCGCGACACCAGCAGCGAGCACCGCGGGTCTGCTAGCAGATCCTGGTGGGCGCAAGATGGGAGAGGGGGAGAGAGCAGGGGCGAGCAGGGGGAGTGGTGAGTGAGAGGAAGCGCTGAATATTGAAAGGGCGGATAGAGGGGGCTAAGAGCAAGCTCGAGTGCATGGGTGAACGCCGTGGAAGGTGGCTGTGTGAGCAGGTCACAGTGCGGTCAGAGCAACAGGGAAAGGGGAGGGGGGGTTACGGGGATGGGTTACCACTGTTCACAGCTGGAGGCATGAACCATGACTGGAAGCGTGAGCATTGTCTTTGCATGGTTTTAGGGAGCCACTTGTGTGCAGGGTTTAGGAGAGACACCACGTGGCCCTAAACTGACGAGGAATGGCATGCACCCTTTTGGGTGCACGGAATACACACAGCAACGGTTCTCCTAACCAGCGTACGCTTTCAACGTGCCCCTTGGGTAAGCAAGGAGGCAAAGACGATCGTGTGGTGTGAAGTAAGGTAGTGGGGATTACAGCGGTGTGTGGCGAGAGTGCGCTGATAGCGAGGATGGGCCGGCCCTGGTCGTCAGAGGCGTATGTGACCATGGAGCCAAAGGGGAACCCCTCAAACTTCTGATCATGGGGCACATGGGAGGGGGGGGTTGGGATGGGCAAGGAGAGGAGCAGAGTGAGAGGGCGAGCAAAGGGCAGAGAGCTTGGCAGGGATGTGCAGCACAGCACAGCACAATGGGATCGTGGGATGTGCCACAGATGCGATGGGGTGTGTGACACATGCGATGGGATATGCCACACATGGGGTGTATGCCGATGGGAAGGATGGTGATGGAGGGAGCATGTGAGCATGTGTGAGCGGCACCTGAGAGTAGGTGGAGAGCACTCCTCTAGTGCATCTGTCCACGACCGTCCTCGCCTCCTCTGCAGGTGACAGCTTTGGCACTGCTTGCTGCGGACAGATGCACATGAAGAAAGGAGGGAGGGGGCGGGAGGAGGGGGAGGGAACGAGGCGAGGGAGGGAGGGACAGGAAGGAGGAAGGGGAAAGGAAGGCAGAAGGAAGGGGAAGGAAGCAGGGTTCTTTTGGAAGACAGGAACCGATGCGAGAGCAGGGAAGGGAAAGAGGAGTCGGGAGCGATTTTTGCATACTATGCGTGTGGGTAAGAGAGGCTACGTGGCGCACGCAGCATGTGAGAACAGCACGGCATATGTGTGTGTGTGTGTGAGTGTGTGCATGCAGCATGCATGCGTGCACGTCCCACCTGGTGTTCCTGGATTCGAGTCCAGAATGCTGCCTCCTCCTCCGGACTGCTCTCACCCTGCTGTGCGGTGCAGTGCGGCAGGGGGGTGGGAATGGGGGTTGGCAGGCAGCAGTAGCAGCTGAGACGGTAGGGGGACACAACAGGCTGTCACAGAATCAGGATCCTCTGACATACTTCCAGTGAGCAGCAATGCTTAGGTTTAGGCTTAAGCAAGTAGGAAAAAACAGTGAAACTCTTAACACTAGCTAATAGCCGAGAGTCTGTGAAACCGGAACTCTTCTCGTTAACAGAAATTAAAACAAGACAAACATGTTTCGGCTGGAGGGCATCCCCTACCAGGCCTTCATCAGTGCCTACGAGAATGAAAAACAGAGTGGAGCAGAAGCCTTAAAAGAAAAGCTAACGCCTCCAGTAAAACAAAACTCAAGGTTATCTACACCCTGGCCCGTTCCAAAAAGTTCGGGACCAATCCAGGTAGCTCTGGTGAACACCAAGAGCCACGTCTTCAACCCTCGAGGGTGTCATCATTGGGAGCAGAGTCCAACCTTTCGCCATGCAGCAACTTCGGTAGTCGCGCGCGCACCAAAAGCTTTAACAAGCTACACCCAATCGTCCAAGCAACAAAAATTCTCTCAACATAAAATCCGTGTGTGATGAGCCTATTTTTGAGTCGACTCAAAAACGGTAGGGGGACACAACAGGCTGTCACAGAATCAGGATCCTTTGCAATCTGCAGCGCTCTTCTGGCTTCCCCATGGTACCAGTCATAACAGTTCCCCACACTCAAATCCCAATGCCCAATTCCACGCCCATCATCCATGCCCATCTCCCCATCCATGCCCATCTCCCCATCCATGCCCATCTCCCCATCCATGCCCATCCCAGGGTGATTTTTCCCCTCGTATCTACCCGCCAGCGTTAGGGAGCCAGCCCACCACACGCATCAGTAACCCGCTCTCAATCACTCTTCCGCTCTCAAAGACCTCCATCCGCTCTCAATCACTCTTCCGCTTGCCCTTCCCCCCGGCCCCTCCTCCCTCTCACCTCCGCGTCGCCGCCAGCAGCAGTCACCACACTCCGCCGCCTCCCCAACTCCTCCGCCCTCCCCGCAATACGTCCGCCCGTCCGTCCCCCGCGCCAATCCCCGCCGGCAGAACCGCCATGCGCAACAACGCGGAGCCGCTGCGCGCGCAGCGCCGCTGGCCCAGCCGCTGCCGGCGCTACTACACCGCGCGCGGAAAGAGACTGGCGCGCGGCGAGGGCGGAAGTCCTGGGCGCGGCGAGGTGGAGAGAGGCGGCGAGGCGAAGCGCTATCATGGCTGGGGACGGGGAGGAAGCAGAGAAAGAGGGAGAGGACGAGCCGAGATTGCTGCGGCGGGCGTGGTGCGAGGCGTGCCAAATCAACTGCTGAAACTCGTTGCTCTGATTTTGATTGAAATGAGGATCCTATATCCCTGCAAATCCTGCTTTCTGTATCCGTTACGAACGGAACCGAGAAGAACAGCAGAAATGGGTTGAACAGAACTTGTAGCCCCACTTACGCATTGTTCTCACAGAAAAATATACTAAACTTTGCTGGAAATACTCGTTCAGGGTGTTACCTATGTTTCTTACGGCCGGTCATTGTTCAAGACGAATTCAAGCTTCAGCTGTAAAGAATCGATGTTAACGCGTACAGTCCCTACGTACCATCCATGCTGCCTAGCGTCCCTCTCAAATTCCCTCTCATGGCCATCCCAAGCCCCAGATTCTTCCTTCCACCGCCCATGTGAATCAAAACCACCCCATCATCGCACCTCACTCTCTCCCCATCCACCACCTCCCCTACCCCGTCGCCAACCCTGTCGCCATCGCCGTCGTCATCCCCATCGCCATTGTCGTCGTCATCCCCGTCGCCGTCGCCGTCGCTATGTCGCGTCCGGCCTTCCCTCTCGGTTCCGCAATCAGCGCCGTCGCCGCCGTCCTCGCGGCTCTGGCGGCGGCGGGAGTGGCGGCGCTGCAGCTGGGGTCGCAGCAGCGTCCGCATCTCGCGGCGTCACTTGCGGCCGTCGCCGCCGCGCTGCTGTTCCTGGCGCTGCCGGCTGTAGCACGAGGTACGGTGCGCAGGGTCCTACGTAGCGCGGATGAAGCACGGATGTGGCATGGATGTGGCACGGATGTGGCACGGATGTGGCACGGATGTGGCACGGATGTAGCACGGATCCACACCCGATAACCACCCTCTGGCATCACCACCCCGCTCTTCATCGTTCCGCCATCCCCCCTCTCCTCCCCTCACCCTCTCGCCCCCTTTTCGTGGTATTGCCCTCCATCGTATGCGTTGCACATCCCGCCCCTGTTTCCACCACGCCCCTCATACGTCTCCTCCCCTCCCCTCCCCTCCCCTTCCCACCTCCCGTCCCTTCCGCTCTCCTACCCTCCCGCCCGCCCCGCCCCGCCCCGCCCGTCTTCGCAGCATGGCACTGGCTGCGCGCTAAACTCGCCGGACGCACCAGCGCTCACAGCACTGATCCCAGCGCCACCGCACACGCGCCCTCCGCCATGCCTCGCCCTCTGCGCGACCCGCCGTGGCAGCTGCCCGTGCACGTGCTGTGCGAGTGAGTGAGTGAGTGAGTGAGTGAGTGAGTGAGTGAGTGAGAGCCTGCTGGCGGGACTAGCCCAGCACCCGAAGATTGAATGCCTGTTCTCTCCACTCCACGCCGAGAATGCATGGCATTCCCTGGAGCATGGATTGCACACAAGCGCGCCCCACCCCTCCCCCCTGTCCCTGTGCCCCTCGCAGTCTCCTGGCAACGTCCCCCCTGCACGGCCTTTCCAGTACTGCCGCCCACTCACACCTCGTCGCTGCTCGCAAGGGCGGCGAGGAGCGGAGGCGGGGCGGCATGGCGTGGACGGACGTGCTGGGGTGCTGCGTGGGCGCGCTGAGGGGCGCTGCTCAGGTGAGAGGGGCGCAGCGCTGCTGTGTGGCGAGGGGTGTGGGGCGAGAAGTGTGTGTGGCATATGCATGTACACGTAGAAGCATGTGCTCAAGCACGCTCACGGCTTCTCTTCCATTCACATGCACCTCCCCCTCTCTCGCTCCCTTCCATCTCCCCCTCCCCATTCCGCGTATGCGCATTGCTCTGCAAGCCAATTTCCCGCCAGTACGTGGCCGCCTCTATTCTCGTCTCTTCTTCCTATCCTTGCACCAACTTTCTCCACCCCTCTCCTCCGCTCTCCTCCCTTTCCCCCCACCCCTCTCCCTCCCTCCAGACGTGTCTACTGCTCTTTGCCTCGCTCTTCCTCCTCTCAGGCGACTTCCCTCCTGGCCTGCTCGCCCTGCTGCTCGCCGCCTTCTCTCTGTTGCTTCAGGTGGGCCTCAGGTGCCGCCTCAGGTGGGTGGAGCACCACCTGCGCCAGGCATCCCTCACCCTCCCCAGAGCCCTGGTAATCCGAAACGGCTGCATGGAATCAGTTCCTGCAAGCACAGTGGTAGTAGGAGACCTGGTGATGCTTATAAAGGGGATGGAGGTTCCAGCAGACATACGTCTGATCTACACTGCTGCGCTGCTATTGGACGAGGCGCCCATTCACGGCATGCTGCATGCGCCCGCCCTCAAGTCCCACCTCCCCCCGTCCGCCTCTGCTGTGGATCCGCGCCTCTGTGCCAATGTGGCCCTCCGGGGGTGCGCCGTGGAGGAGGGGTGGGGCGTGGGCGTGGTGTATGCAGTGGGGGGGGATACGGTGCTGGGGGCGCTGCTGGGGGAGCGAGCAGGGGAGGAGACGGATGGGAAGAAGGGGAGGAAGGGGAAGGGAGGGCGGGGAGAGTTGGGGGAGAAGAGGCAGGGGCGGAGGGATGAGTGGGAGGAGGTGATGGGAGAGGATAGTGATGGTGATGATGATGATGGGGATGAGGAGCAGGGGGGCATGGTGGGCATGTTGGAGGTAAAGCGGGACGAGGGACAAGGGGACTGGGTGCCGTGTGCTGAGATGGGTCACACCCCACTTCCCCCAACCACTCCCAACCATCCGTACCACTCCCAACCGTATCTCAACACGCACGACAACACCACCACCACCACCACTCAGGACGATATCCCTGGCACCCACGTCTGGCCCTCCCCACACTCCCCTCTCCCCTCCGCGCTCCTCCCTTCTCGCATCTCCACTCTCGCCCTCCGCCTCGCTCGCCTGCTAGGCTTCTCCGGTACGGCCCTGGCAGTGGTAGCAGCGCTGCTCTTCTCTCTCCGCCAGCGCCCCTGGCAGGACTGCCTGCTGCTGCTGCTCTCCCTGCTGCTGCTCTCTCTCCCCGACTCCCTGCCGCTGCTCCCTGCAGTGCACCTGGCTGAGACAGCCATGGGGCTGAGGCGAGCAGGCGTGGTGGTGCGAGCGGGGGGGCAGAGAGCGGTAGAGGCGGTGGCGCTGTGCCGCTCTGCTCTCTTCCACGCGCCGCTGCTGCCGCACGCCCGTTCCCTTGGTGCTTCTGCACTGGAGGGTCGTGAGGTGCGGGATGATGGGCGTGGTGGGCGTGGTGGGGGGGGTGTGGTGGAGGGAGGAGGAGGGGGTGATGGGGGGGTGTGGGGAGCGAGAGGGGCGGCAGATGGGGTGGAGGTGGCGGCAGTGCTGCTGGCAGATGGGACCTGCCTTACTGCTGCCGCCTGCGCTAGTGGTGTGTGCGTGAGAGGGGAGGAAGGTGGGGGAGGGAAGGAGGTGGTGACGAGTGGAGAGGAGGAGGAGAAGGGCGCTGGCGATGGGGATGGGCAAGGCAGCGAGGTTGTGGGGCAGCGAGGCGGGGAGGAGGAGAGGGGTGAGAGCAGCAGCCACCATGCACCCTCACCCTCGCCAGTGCCAGTGCACTCACCATCACCCTCACCATTACCAGTGCCAGTGCCAGTGCCTTTGCACTCCCCATCACCATCCCCATTACCAGCTCCTTTGCACTCACCATCCCCATCACCATTACCAGTGCCTTTACACTCCCCATCACCATCCCCATTCCCAGTGCCATTGCACTCACCATCAACACTACCATTACCATTGCCATGGCACTCCCCATCCCCATCACCATTACCAGCGCCTTTGCACTCCCCATCACCATCACCATCACCATCATTATTACCAGTACCATCACCATCACCATCACCATCACTCTTACCAGCGTCCCCATCACCAGCACCACCCGCATCACCAGCACCGCCACTCCCCCCAGCAGCAGCACAGCGAGCAGCATCCCTGCATGCAGTAGCAGCAGCATGGGCGGTGCTGTGTGGGGTGGGCGCAGCAGAGAGCCGCATGGCGCACTGGCAGCATGCAGTGAGGCACGCACTGGCAGGGGAGCAGGAAGCGACTCAGGCGAGTTTTGCCAGGGACAGAGGGGGTGAGGTGGGGGCGTTGGAGGGAATAGAAAGAAGGGGAGATGAGCCTCTGGGGCAGGGAGAGGGGAGTAAATTGGGGCGAATCAAAGGGGGTGCGGAGGGGGGAGGCGAGGAGAGGTTTGGCAGCAGTGGTGGTGCTGGGGGGAGTGCTGCTGGGGAGGGGGAGGGTGTGAGAGAAGGGGGGAGAGGGGGGGGCGAGGAGGGAGGGGAGGAGGGAGGGGAGGAGGGAGGGGCGGTGCAGTTGGCGTGGTGGTTGGCTCAGTGTGATGGGGAGGGACGCGCATGGATGGGTGCGAGTGATGATGTGGATAGAGCTGTGCTCGCTGCACTGGTTAAAGGCATGTGGGACGATGGTAGGAGGGAAGCAGCACAGCAGCACCAGCACCAACAACAACGACTGCAGCAGCAGCAGCAGCAGCAGCAGCAGCAGCAGCAGCAGCAGCAGCAGCAGCAGCAGCAGCAGCAGCAGCAGGAATCCTCCAGTGGCCTTCGCCGTGTGTCTCCATCCCTCTCATCCTTCATCAACTCTCTTCTCTCCGCCAAGCGCTCAGGCTCTCTCCTCATCCATCCACTCCACCCCTCACACCACCCTTCAAATCACCCCTCACACCACCACGCACCCACCTCACCACCACATGCCTTCCCAACGCATCTCGCTTCCTCCCCTCCTCCCTCCTCCCCTCTCAGCACAACATCTCCCCACTCTCCTCCCGTTCTCACTGCTCGAATCACACTTACAGGGATGGTGGGGGGGGAGGAGAGAGAGGGGAGTGCGGTGGTGACAAGAGGGGAGGGGGAAGATATATTGTCCATGTGCACACACGTGCTTGTGGACTGCTGTGCCAGCACATGTGGCAGTGCAGGTGGCAGTGCAGGTGGCAGTCGGGAGGGTTCAGAGGTGGGGATGGTTGGGAGAGCGGAGGCAGATGGAGCAGCAGCGAATGGGGGGGAGGGGGGTTTAGAGAGAGAAAGGCGGGGGATGCATGGAGCACGTGCAGCACTGCTAGGAGGGCTGCTGGATGGATGCCACGTGGCATGGATGGATGACAGCCGTCGATCGCATCTTGTGAGGCAGGTTCAAGAAATGCAGCAGGCAGGTGGGTGGTGGGCACCAGGCAGTGTTTCTTTGGCCTCCGCTGCTGCTCGCCGCTGCTGCTACCTCTGTCCCCTCCTTTTCCTTCCCCTCCTTACTCTACCTTACTACCATTTGCACTTGCTCTTCTCTCTTCTTCCCACTTTGCTGCCACGACTTGCATGTTGCCTGTTAAGCGCATTGGTGCATGTGCTGGCAGACGACTTCTGCCTGTAAAAGAGGGAGAAGGGGGAGGAAGTACTGGAAGGTCCAAACAAGAGAGGCAAGAATGCATGTGCATGATGACAGGCATGAATGAATATGCAGCACACAGCAAGAGCGCTTATCACAACAACCACAGGAGCCAAGTACCAGAAAAATACAAAAAACGAACCTAGGGTTTCACCACAAAATGGTTATTTGAAAAAATATATATACCAATGGGAATGGAACATGCAGCAGTTGTGGTAAGCGCTGCTCAAGCATGGAACCAATGTCATGGCCATGATGAACGTAAATTATAATGAGCGGAGAAAAGAGAGAAGCGGTACTTATCTGCACATGGGGTTGTTTGTCTTGAGCGTTGATTCGAATCTCGTCTTGAAAGTTGACTTGATGTCTTGGCTTGAGGAGCGATGCGCTGCCTTGTACTACTGATCCTCTTGACCTTCGATCCTTGAATGCCTTGGCTGCCAAGAGGATCAGCATTACAAGGCAACTCTCCTCAAGCCAAGACTTCAAGTCAACTTTCAAGCCGAGATTCGAATCAACGTTCAAGACAAGCAACCCCATTTGCATATAAGTACCGCTTCCCTCCTTTTCCCGCTCATTATCATTTACGTTCATCATGGTCATGACGCTAGTTTCATGCTTGAGCGGCGTTTACTATAACTGCTGCATGTTCCATTCCCCCTGGTAGTTTATTTTTTTCAAGGTAACCCTTTTCTGGTGAGACCCTATGTTCTCTTTTGGTATTTTTCTGGTACTTGGCTCCTGTGGTTGTTGTGATAAGCGCTCTTGCTGTGTGCTGCATATTCATTCATGCCTGTCATCATGCACATGCATTCTTGCCTTCCTTGTTTGGACCTTCCAGTACTTACTCCCGCTTCTCCCTCTTTTACAGGCAGAGGTCGTCCGCCAGCACATGCACCAATGCGCTTAACAGTCAACATGCACCGGGCAGTGTTTCTTTGGCCTCCGCTACTGCTCTCTACCCGTAGCTTTTTCTTCTGCCTCACTCCGCTCCTTTCTCTACCTTCCTACCATTCTACTTTCTTCCCATCTTGCTGCATCCATTCATCACATTCCCACCTCGTCTGCATTTTGCTTTCTGGCCCCCTTTTCTCCTGCTCTCCTCTCCTGTCATTTCTCCTCTTCTCTCCTCTCTTATCCCTCTTGCTCTCCTCTCTCGATTCCTCATTTTCACATCACGTCTCCCTTATCCACACATAATCTACCACTGCCACATCTCTTCCCTGCCCTCAATGCACACATGCGAGTCATAGCATGGGCTCAACAACGCCCGCACGCACCACCAAGCTCCCATGCACAAATCCCGTCACCTGCTCATCTTACCTTCATACCTCTGCCTTCCCTTCCCTGCAGGCATGCGAGTCATAGCATGGGCACAAGAATGCCCACACGCACCACCAAGCCTGCATCCACCAACCCCATCACCAGCTCATCACACCCCCTCCCCCGTGCACCCACACGCCTCCTTCCCTTCACCGCACCAGCAGCCGCAGCAGCAGCAGTCACCCCACATGAGCAGCCCTGCAGCGACAGGTGCAGAGGCAGCGGCGGCAGGAGCAGCAGCAGTGCAAAGAGGGGCAGGGATGGATCAGCGGGGTGGTGTGAGCACAGCACAGCAGAGCGCGGAGGAGGGGGGGATTGTGTTTCTGGGCGCAATAGGAGTGAGGGAAGCGTGGGATCTCGCGACCACTAAATGGGCGGTTGACAGGTGGCAAGATCTGGGCGTGCAGGCGGTGGTGATGACGGGCAATCACTGTGATCCGGCACACGCCTCTGCCTTCCCTCCCACCACCACTGCCAGTGGGTCTGGCGGTAGGGATGACGCTGCTGCAACTGCTGCGGCTGCTGATGCCCCTGCTGCTGCTGTTGATAGCAGTGGTGTGGCCTTGCAATGTGGGTTTTCTGGTTCTGCTTCGTCTGCACCTCCCAGTGCAGGTGAGTGAAGTGGGCGGAAAGAGTCAGGGGATTCTGTGAATTTGTGTGGCACAGAAGGCATGCAGGAAAGTGCGCTGCACTTTCCTCATGCCCTCTGTGCCACACACACCTGCACGTATGCATATGCACACACTTGCATGCACGCACACACACACACACACACACACACACACACACACACATGCGCGCATTCGCGGATGCACACGGTCACTGCTACAGCATCAAAAGATTGATTGTCAGCATGTTGTGACAGCAGTGGCAACCAAATACCGACCAATCCTCTATCCATCCTGTGCTCTCATCCACCACCCAATCACCAGCTGCCAGCTGGACAAGTGTGCTTCACAATGTGCAGGTGCTGACGGGGCTGTGGGGCGATGCTGAGTCAGCAGCAGCTGCACAGCTGGCAAGTGAGGGCCATCAGCTGCTGTGGCTGCCCCATGGTGCGTGCTGCTCGCGTGCTGAGAAGTCGGGAGAGTGGGGGAAGTGGGACGAGGGGGGGACGGGGGAAGCTTGCGCGGGAGAGGGGGAATGGGGGATCGGTGAAACTGGAAGGGGGTACAAGTAGGGGAGAGGTAGCGAGGTCTGTTGTGGTGTGGTGTGGTGTGGTGTGGTGTGGTGTGGGAGGGAAGCATGGGAGCCCCAGTATCGCAAGCTCACTCTCCTGTGGCCCACCTGCATGCTGTCTTCTTCTCGCACCCACCTTGCGTCCCCAGAGAAGCTTCCTTGCCTCACTTTCCACAATCCTCTTTCCCCGACCCTTTCCGTCTCCCCGCAACCCCTCCCTCCCACCCATCCTCCCCTTCCCTGGCAGCTCCCTTCATCCCCGCGCACATCACCACATACACAGACACGCCTCTCCTCTCCCTCACCTCCTCCCCCTCGTCCTCCTCACCCCACTCGCCCCCATCCCCTGTGCTCCTCGCGCCTCTCTCCTCCTCCCCCTGCATCGCCTGCAAGGCAACCCTACTACTGCCCCCACCACCCGAATCCTCCCTCCTTGAGAGTTCGGCCAGGAGCAGCGGAGAGCACATGGGAGGAGGAGGAGGAGGAGGAGGAGGAGGAGGAGGAGCAGCAGAGGAGAGAAGAGAGACCGTGGCAGATGCAGCACAGGGGCAGATGGCAGTGGTGCAGGGAGCAGTGGCTGTGTGTCGCCGTGCCCTGCTGCTGCATGTGCGCGCTGCTCTCGCCTTCCACATGGGGGCTCGTCTCGGCATCGTGGCTGCCATTGCCCTCTCTGCTTTGCTCCTCGGCAGGCAATGCTCTTACCTTCTCCTGCTCTCATCCCCCCTTTTCCTCCGCGTCTCTCGCCTTCGTTGTTCTTCTTCGCGGCTGCCTTCTCCTGCTCCTCCGTTGAGAATCCTACCTGTTAGTTACGACACTGTATTCGTTGTGTGATTCTTGTGACCCTCTTATTTCCTCCATCACGGATTTGAGTTATGTCCTTCCGTTTTCCCCCCACCATCTCTCCCTCCCTTGCTTTCTCCTCACTGTGCCCCTCTGCATGGTGAACCCACTCCACCTACTCCTCCCATTTCCCGAAACAAACATCTGACCTCTGACACTCTGTGTTTCCTCCCCCTTGCCCTCTCTTCTCCATGCCCCCCATGCTCCTTCCCTCCCCCAAGCAGTCTGCTCTTCGACCCTCTGCATCTGCTCCTCCTAGACCTCTTCATCACCCTCATCTCCCTCACCGCCTTCGCCCCCTCCCGCTACCTCTCCCTCACCCCTTCCCCTCCTCACCACCTCCCCCCACCTCCCTTCCCACCCTCCTCCCTCACCCGAAGCCTCCTCGCTCCCACTCTCACCGCAGCCACCTTTACAGCCCTCCCCCTCGTCTCCCTCTCAGCCGTCACCCTCCTCCTCTCCCTCTCTCTCTCCCCTTCCTTTGTCTCTATTGCCTCCCTCGCCACAGCACCCCCTCCCATGGCCGGCACCCACACAGCAGTAGCAGACCGCTCCATTGCCTTTGTTCTCGCCTCTCTACTCCTGCCCACAATAGCACGGGCGCAATGGTACTCCGCCACACACTCTCACGCTCTCTCTCACTCTCACTCGCACCGCATGCTCATGCACTCCCTGCGTGCGCCTTCCAATGCGGATCTGACCTTCTTTGTCTTCCTGGCCTTCGTGCTGCTGCTCGCCCTCTGGAGCGGCCTTCAGGACGCACTCGCCTTACAGCACATCCCCTTCCTGCTCTGGCTGCTGCTGCTCGCCCTGCCTGTTGCTGCTGTGATGCTGCCGCATTGGCTTGGAAGGGGAGCGTTGAGTGGTTTGGGAGAGGGAGAGCGTGGCGTGGAGATGAGGGGAGGTGGGGGTGAAGGGACAGAGGCGAGTGAAGCGCTGCTGGTACGATCGAGAAGCAGGTCATGAGACGCGACGGGAAGGATGCATGGAGGGGAAATGAGAAGAAATGTAGGGTGTATATCCTGGTGATTATCGGTACATTACATTACAGTATCATGGTTCAGTGATAAGCAACCTTGGTTCGACAGTTTTCAAACCTGTCTGGTCACACTTCACAGAGGTTTTGGTGACGCCGCTCCCAGTCAAACGCCAGCACATGTGAATTAGGAATCCTGCAGCCCGTACGCTATGCAATGCAGCAACTCAATGCCATGGAAAGCAAGTCGCATATAATCACCATCCCTGATTATGATACGGCTACTGTATGTCACGCATCGATGTGACCTGATGTGGCGATTGCCCAAGGGAGAGTGTCCCTTATGAATTCCTCAATCTCGCTCGACAAAGTCCCAACCTTCTGCAGGGACGTGAGACCCGTGAGCCACTTCATGCCTGCTGCTGTGATGCTGGCATTCTTCAGTGAAAGCCTCTCCAAGCTTTTCATATTGCTCAGGTACTTCAAGCCGGAGTCAGTCACACCTGGAGGCAGAGTGAAGAACTTGAGAGAAGTGAGGCCAGTCAGATGCTGCAGCCCATCCTCCTTGATTCCGGTTTTATGCAGTGTGAGCCACTTCAGTGATGTCATTCTGCCCACATGCACCATGCTGGCAGACGTTACAGACCCACATCCGCTCATGGACAGTGCCGTGAGGCCAGACAGCTCTTGCAGCCTCGCCACTCCCGCGTCTGTGATCTCGGTGTTGTGAATCACAAACGTGCGCAGTTTTTTCAGGCAGCCAATACCTTCCAGACCAGCATCCGTTGTGGCAGCAGAACCCAGCTCCAAACGACGCAGGCCTGTGAGGGAGTACAGCTTCCTCATCCCTGCTGCTGTGAAGCCGGAGGAGCCTCTGAGGTTGATAGTTTTGAGGGATTGCAACGAGGCGAGGCGAGTGAGAGCAGCGTCTGTGAGGCAGGAGATGCCGCTGAGGTCCATTTGCCTCTGCGCTGGTGCTGCTACTTCCCACAGAGTGAGCATTGCCTGCAGGTAGGGCAGACAATGGCAGCCACAAGCACGATGGAGTGACAGGAAAGTGGTTACTGCACAGTGAGGTGTGAGGGCGATGGTGGTTCTGGCGTGTTTGTACCAGCCAGCCCCAGTAACGACGCCACCAGGGCGTTTTCGCACCGGTGCTTTAGTGCTAGTGGCAAAAACCAATAGTTCCTGGAAAACACGGAAGTCAACTCATTGAAGCACGCACCTCCCATATCCTCTTTCCTTCGTCACTCGTCTTCTCCAGCTTCGCCACACTGCTTTCCACCTCGACCGCCCAGCCCTTCACTTCCTCCCATTCAGCCTCCCATTCCGTGTAGTCCTCTTCATCCCAGTTTCCATCAACAGCAGCATCATCGCCAGCAGCACCATCTGCCGCAGAATCATCTGCAGCACCTGCAAATTCCTCCGGCTCATCCGCTTTCCCCGCGACCTCCCTTTTCCTCTTCTTCGTTTCCCGCTCCTCCATCTCTTCATGCTCCTTTGTGTTGCCGTCGCTGCCGTCGCTACCGTCGCTGTGCTCGGCGCGCGGCTTCTTCCGCACGTCGTTCATCCGCGCTTCATTGTGCGCCGCTCTCGCTCGCAAGTCCGCGATCTCCGCAGCCTGCCGCTCGATCACCGCCCTTACCTCGCTCGCCGCGTCCCTCGCCTCGCCTCTCGCCGCCTCCAGCTGCTCCTTCATTCCCTTCACTTGCGACGCGAGCTCGTCCCGCACGTCCGTCACCCGCGCCGCGATCATGGCCTCCACCAGGGCCATAAGCGCCTCGCCCTTCGGCGGCGGCTGCGCTGGAAGGCTGTCCGCGTCATGTGCCACTCCTGCCGCGGCACTGCCAGCGCCGTGGTTCTCCGCCGCTCCCATCATCTCCAGCGCCCCCTTCGCCATCGCGCGCCTCATTTCGTCCACCTCTCGCTTCAGAGCTGCCATGGCCTCGCCTTGCCTCTTCACCTGCGCTTCCAACTCCTCCGCTCGCTCCTCCGCGCTTGCGGTCATCTCCTCATCTCTCCCGCCGTCTCTGCTCGTTGCACTTTCACAACCACTCCGTCTAGCCTCAACTCCATGCCGCCCGCCATCGCCATTTGGAACCGCGACTGTACGACGCCGAACTAGATAGCGCTCGTTCGAGGGAACGTGGAAGGCTTGATTGTGGACTGAGCTGAGGCTGTTGGGAGTAATGCTTACAAGGCAATCAGGAGAAGACGGGAAAGCTTTTCCTGAAATGAACCTGTTCCAGTAGCTAGTCTGGCGCACGTTGGCTTGGGATGCGGCTTGTCGATGTGTCAGTCAGACATTGTCAACATTGGGTTGAACTTCCCTGTAAGGATTTACAAATCCTTACTGAGGCACTCGTTAGCGAGGCCATCCCGAGGGTCACGCGACGAACCTGTCTTGCCTATTTCGTCGCACCGAACCACCCCCGAGTCGGCCTCCGCTCCAATCGCAACCATCACCGAGCCATCCCATCCCGAACCCCCCGCCTAGCTAGCTTGTCCCCTATTTAGGCCTCCCTACTTCATTGTTTCTTCATTCAGTAATTCAATAATTTCCATTCTCGTTATTCGTTTTACTGCGCACTCTGCAAGTTGATTCATAACACCTGGTATCAGAGCTACTTTCCTAGCTCACCCCGCTTTTTAGAGTGTAATACCCCTCGGGGGGGGGGGGGGGACGAGGAAGGATGTCTTGGGGTCCAGGAGTTGCGTAGGCCGGCCAGGAGAACGAGTTAGTTGCTCCTCGCGGCCATAGTTTTACGGGTACTCCTTCGGCACCGCCAGATCCTTGCCTCGAACGGTCGCGATCGACCGTGGCCTCCCTCCCCCCGGGCAACGGACAGCTGTAGCTGTCGCGTCATTAAACGTGGGTTTCTATTCCGCTGCGGTTTTAACGACGATTTCGGAATTTTGTGAGGCAGCTGGCGTCAGCGGACCTGCGTCGGAACCTGCACGAAATTTGCGGAAGTCGTCAGCGTGTGTGGCAGTTGACGCCGTCGGACCTGGGTCAACAGTTGCGCGACAACTTCGGAGTCGTCCCATGCGGCAAGTGACAACGGTGGCTCGTCGTCATTTTGCGCGCGTGACTCACGGAGTGTGGCTCGGCAGCTGGCGACAAGGGACGTGCGTCACTGTGGCGATAATTTCGGAGCTACTGTGGAGAAAAAGTCGGTTGGGGAACTCGCCAGGCGCAAATGGAGTTTTGTGTCCGAAAATATCGGTGGACGAGGAGAGACGACACGCGAACTGCCCGAATTATGCGGGGTCAACTGCCGTCCCGCGCGACCTGAAGTGGAGCGGCTTTTACTGCATGGCGGGCGCGTCATCGAATATTTCGACAGAAGTGCTCGTGGACAGACGGGACTTCAGACTCGCGACACTTACGGGCTGCAACGAAAAGCGGAGTGGCCATATCACACTTAGCAGAAGTGGGACGCAGGCGGCGAGGGAAATCGAGGCAGGTACACCTCGGAAACAACTCGTGGGACACTGCGTGCCTGGTGTTGTTGCAAGCTGGCCGGCAGTATGGAGAGCGGTTTCTCCTGACCAGGGAATTCGTTTTCGGGGACAGCTGCTGACAACCCACGATTAAACGGCGTCCAAGGTACCGCCCGACAATTTCGGAGGGGTCGGTACAGGCTGCCGGGACACACGGGCAGAAACGGTCCAACGGCTAAGCGAGGGTTGAAGAACGTCGTGGGGAGCAGATTAAAAGCCGGTGGAATCGATATGCGGCCCTACTTCGCCCGAACCTCACCATCCCCACCAAGTCCTGGTTCTGACTCATGCAGTCAACCTACTTGGCCGAATAACGGGGGTGAACACGTGCCTACCCTGTGCTGGTTAAAGGCACCTGGATTGGTGCTCGTTCGACAGCTGTACAGAAAATACAAAAAAAGGTGGAGTTCGCGGCACTGTTCTACTCCGACAAAAGCGGGCTGGGTGAACGGCACGCGAAAAAGTCGGGGAGCTGCGAGGATAACATCAGTGCAGTTTACAGGTTTCTCCTGACCCGGGCGTCTACACACGAGGTGACAACGCAGCGGCGAAGCTGAGACCGGGAAGCTGTGAAATTTTAGTGGCGTGATGGGCACGGCGGGCTGCAAAACGGTTGGGCGATAGTTTCCTTTTAACTAAGGCTACCCCGACTCCGATAGTTTTTGCCTCTCCACCGGTGTAAGGATTTACAAATCCTTACTGAGGCACTCGTTAGCGAGGCCATCCCGAGGGTCACGCGACGAACCTGTCTTGCCTATTTCGTCGCACCGAACCACCCCCGAGTCGGCCTCCGCTCCAATCGCAACCATCACCGAGCCATCCCATCCCGAACCCCCCGCCTAGCTAGCTTGTCCCCTATTTAGGCCTCCCTACTTCATTGTTTCTTCATTCAGTAATTCAGTAATTTCCATTCTCGTTATTCGTTTTACTGCGCACTCTGCAAGTTGATTCATAACATTCCCCCCCGCTTACAGTAATCATATATGTGAATGAACACACTGGAATGTACACGAACCACTCTGCAACTCGTTATTACCGTTCCAGACACCGAAATAGGCCACACTCCCTCAAAACTTGGACGTGGACACAACAGACAAGGTCGGTGCGGTTCGGGGTGTTGTTTAAACCGACATTACATTTTCATAATCAGCAGTTACACTGACGGTCAAAAGTGGCCTCAACCTTCACTGATTATGAGGATTTTCAGCACCAGATACATTGATAATCAGAGTCAAAAAAAAAAAAGGCCCTCTGACAGACATACGGATCATGTTCTCAACATTGTTCGTTCTGATACCGAGTTGACATAACACGACCAGCAATAGCTTGACCACTCCCAAAGATCTCTCTACCCAACGTGCACTAAACACATATAATCACTATCCCTGATTTTGATACGTCACGTATTGAGGGGACCTGATGTAGGGATTACCCCGGGAAGAATGTCCCTTACGAATTCCTCGACCTCACTCGAAGAAGTCCCAACCTTTTGGAGGGACGTCAGACCCTTGAGCCACTGCATGCCTGACACGGTGATTCTAGCATCTTTCAGTGAAAGCCTCTCCAAACTTTTCATGCTCCTCAGGTGCTTTAAGCCCGAGTCAGTCACACCTGGAGGCAGAGTGAAGAGCTTGAGAGACGTGAGCGCAGTCAGATGCTGCAGCCCATCCTCCTTCACTCCACTACCGTTCAGAGTGAGCCATTCCAGTGACGTCATTCTGCCCACATGCACCATGCTGGCAGACGTGACAGACATAAATCTGCCCATGCACAGTTTCGTGAGGCCAGACAGCTCTTGCAGCCTCGCCACTCCCACATCTGTGATGTCGGTGTTGCTAACAACAAGGGTGCGCAGGTTCTTGAGGAAGGAAATGCCTTCCAGAGCTGCATCAGTTGCGTTGGTGGCCCCAAATACCAGATGGCTCAGCTCTGTGAGAGTGTACAGCTTCCTCATCCCTGCTGCAGTGAAGCCGAAGGAGCCTCTGAGGTTGACGGATGTGAGGTCGGGCAACGAGGCGAGGCGAGTGAGAGCAGCGTCTGTGAGGCAGGAGATGCCGTTGAGGTCCATTCGAGTTTCCTCTGGTAGAGCTGCAGCCCACAGCTTGAGCATCGCCTGCAGCCAGGGAAAACACAATGGCAGACACGAGCACGATGGAATGACAGCTGAGAGCGGGTACTTCACACTGGGGTGTGAGGGCGATGGTGGTTCAGGCGTGTTTGTATGTACCAGCAGCCAGTAGCGACGGCACCAGGGCGTGTTACGACACAACATGCCATCAGTTCTGTCGTGCTGCTAGTGGCAGAAACAAAAGAATGCTGGTGTCTGCTCATCTCATAGAAGCACGCACCTCCCATATCCTCTTTCCTTGGTCACTATTCGTCTTCTCCAGCTTCTCCACTCTGCTTCCCAACGCGAAAAACTAGCCCTTCACTTCCTGCCATTCCACCTCCTATTCCGTGTTCTCCGCTTCATCCCGGTTCATATCAGTAGCATCATCTGCCGCACCTGCAAATTCTGTCAGCTCATCCCCTTTTCCCGTGACCTCCCTCTTCCTCTTTTTCTCTTTGCGTGAAAAACACACTGGAATGTACACTAACCACTCTGCAACGCATAATTACCGTTCCATACACCAAAACAGGCCAGACTCTCTCAAAACTGGACGTGGGTGGACACATCAGACAAGGGCGCTGTTCTGTAGGCATTAAATTTCCAAAAACTGGGTCCGCACAATCTTCGTTGATAATTGATCTTCTGCCTATCAAGGTTTGGTGATAAAAAAGGTCCTGCCGAACCTGTTTGCGCCAAATTTAACGCATCAGCCTGTAGAACGCCACTTTTGGGGCGCACGAATTTAACCGTCTGCAGGTTCGAAGTTGTTGCTTCGCCGGGCAAATGGTCGCACAACTAGTGCGGTGCTAATTCTACCTCGGGAGCTAGCATCAGCCCCCGCACATGTTATGCGAGGCAGCAACATCCGCGCAACGCAACCAGCATGAATGCGCCTAGAAAATGCACGGAAGGCTACCGCGGTCAAATTGGTGCGGAACCCTAAACGCCTGCAGAACAATGCCAAGGTGGGTGTAGTGCGGGCTGTTGTTCAAGCACAACGTGTGCAGATTTTGCAATTTAAGTTCGGTACTTCCAAGAGGTTGATAAGAAAGGATGCGCAGTAAGTCGATAACGAAACCGAAACTACAACTTCCGTCATCCCCCGGATATAATGTAAACATAATTTGACAGTTCGGCACTTCTAAGTGGTCTGAACAAAAGGAGAGGTGTACTATGTGTGCAAACGAAGGTAGCATAGTACCGGTACCTGAGTAGTGGTCCTCAAATGTACAAAACGAGACTACTGATGCATGAGTTTCACTTTGATCCTCCAAAAATCTCTGCTCAAACCTATAAAAATCGTACCTTAACCCTCCTATGATATCTTCACATTACGAGTCATTCAGTGTACCCGATATAACTACTCCATGGAGATTGTCCCTTATCAATTCCTCCATCTTGTATGAACAAGTTGCAACCTTTTGGAGGCACTTAAGACCCTTGAGCCACTTCATTCCTGATGCGGTGATGCTCGCATCCCACATTGCCAGCTTCTCCAGGCATTTCATATTCCGTAAGCGCCTTATGCCCGAGTCAGTCACTCCCGGAGGCAAAGTGAAGAGCGTGAGAGATGTGAGGGCAGTCAGATGCTGCAGCCCATCTTCCTTGACCCCAGTAGCGTTCAGTGTGAGAAACTCCAGTGATCTCATTTTGCCCACAGGCACCATGCTGCAAGAGGTCACAGACGCACATCCGGTCATGGACAGACCTGTGAGGCCAGACAGCTCTTGCAGCCTCGCCACTCCCACATCTGTGATATTGGTCTTGTCAAGAACCAGGGCGTGCAGGTTCTTCAGGCGGGAAATCCCTTCCAGAGCAGCATCAGTTGCGTGATGGCACCAAATATAAGATGGTCAAGGTCTGTGAGGGAGTACAAGTTCCTCATCCCTGCTGCCGTGAAGCCGGTGGATCCTTTGAGGTTGACGGATGTGAGGTGGTGTAACGAGGTGAGGCGGGTGAGAGCGGTGTCTGAGAGGCAGGAGATGCCGCTGAGGTCCATTTGAGTTTCCTCGAGTATTGCTGCCTCCCACAGCGTGAGCATTGCCTGTAGGTAGGGCAAACAAAGGGAGGCACGAGCACAATCGAGTACCAACTAGGAGCGGGGGATACTGCACCATCGCGGAATTGACAAGGTCAGAAAGCTATGAAAACGCCAGAGTGAGGGTGCTGCACAGAGTGAGGGAGCTGCACAGAGTGAGGGTGCTGCACAGAGTGAGGGTGCAACACAGAGTGAGGGTGCTGCACAGAGTGAGGTTGCTACACAGAGTGAGGGTGCTGCACAGAGTGAGGGTGCTGCACAGAGTGAGGGTGCTGCACAGAGTGAGGGTGCTGCACAGAGTGAGGGTGCTACACAGAGTGAGGGTGCTACACAGAGTGAGGGTGCTACACAGAGTGAGGGTGCTGCACAGAGTGAGGGTGCTGGACAGAGTGAGGGTGCTACACAGAGTGAGGGTGCTACACAGAGTGAGGGTGATACACAGAGTGAGGGTGTATGTACCATCAACTAACTACGGCTACCACGTGCTCTCTCCAAACTAGTGGCGCAAAACAGGATATATGGATAAAAAGGCACGGGGTAGAACGGGCATCTCAACCCATGGAAGCACTCACCTCCCACACCCCCTTCCCCTCGCCACTCCTCTTCTCCAGCTTCGTCACCTTTCTTTCCACCGCCTCCACCAACTTCTTAAGCCCCTCACATTCACCCTCCCATTTTGAGTTGTCCGCTTCATCCGGCTCCTCACAATGCTGGTGTACGATGGGAATCAGCTGGTGGTTAGTTCGGCGATTTCGTGTTCCAGTAGTTCGCGTGCGTTGTTTTTTTCAAGTTGCCAACTGTTTCCGATCTGCCACTGATGTTCCGCAGTTGCCCAGTTTTCGCTTCGTGCTGCTTCCGAACAGTTTTCGGGCAAACTGCTCAAATTCCAAGTGTGTGGAGCTTTGGACACTTCGCGGTAAAGAACGGTGCTATGGGGTTCTAAAATCTTCCGTGAAAGTGCTGCTGTGTTGTAATCTGTATATTTTGAACGATGCTTTTATAAATCGCCAGCCAAAAGACTTTATCTCTGTTTTGTTGTATGCTTATTAAGATGTAAGTATATCAGAATGTGAGGATACGAAGAAAAATATGTTATTACCAAACACGATTAATGTAATCGACAAATTTAGGGTCTCTGAAGTTGTAAAGTTGAAATTTAGTTTCTCTGCTAAATAACCACTTGGTTGCATTCCTACTTTGTGGGTATACGAGGCACACAATTACGAGGGTGCGAGTGGTTACCACGACGTGAACCGTTTGCGACCAATACTAACGGTAACCTGGTCGCGAAGCCGTTCGGACGGCTCGATTTTCACCCGCGAGAGTTTGTACTTGACCGAATTTCGCCGGAGTCGCATACCTTGTGCACGTGCGAAAATCGCACGTATCACTTGGCTTTGTCGTGCGGGAGACAGAAGGGTCGAGGCGGATAGATGGCGGTTTTCAGTGGTTTAGCGAAAGTTGTAATAGGTACAACTGCCAGTTCAACGTTCTGCACCAACTCCTCCATTTCCCCCTTAGGGTGCGTCTGATCCGCTACAATGTGATTTGGCTGCAAATTTGTTGCCCTTTTGGTCGACTATATTTTTCGCCAAAGTAGACCGAATGGTCGACTTGAATACCGACCACCATCCAGCCACATTTTCAAGGTGTTGCAATCCAGATTTGGTGGCCGATTTATAGGCCGGTTTGCAAAAGTGTCAGATTTGCAGGTCGCACAGTTGGCCGGATTGTGCGACAGAGTCGCATGTATTGTTACTGAAGTGACACAACCGCTAATGTGGTCTTGTTCAACGGCGCTGAAAGCGCCGTGCGCGTCGTTCTTGTGACACATTGAGTCGCTTGGGTGTGTTGGCCAAGTCGCATAGATACTGTAGCGCTGACGAGTCGACAAAGTGGTCGACTCTCGATTCGTTTGCACGCCGGAAAGTTGTGGGAAAAGATCATACAGGGGCCGAACAGTGCCAGAGAGGTGTTCAAACAGGGGCCAAGAGGCCCGGAACTAACCAAACCACTGCGCAAATAGGTGTTTGCAAAAAGGTATCATTTAATGAACGTATGTCTGTTAACAGTTTTGAATTTTGGCTCGCGCGTCATTTTTCATGTAAATGTTTACTGATTCATCACCTTCCACCCAATAGCGTCGTTTAGCAAGCCAGAAACTCTTAGGGCAGCCAAAAAAACTAAAACCCCGAGGGGAACCTGGATGCATTTTCGGGATGGATCAACCCTAAAAACGGGAACCTTCGTTGTGTTTAGGGTTGAAGCCTCCCTAGTCGCATCCATTTCCGAATGGGTAATACTTTTTTTTCTGCGCGTTTCCGATCAGGGAGTGATATTTATCACCCATAATGAATTTGTTTTTGGACTCACAAATTAACATAGCAATATTTACTTCCAGAAGAACGCGATGTTGCGCGTAGTAGTAGACGGCGGTCGTAACCATTTTTTTAATAAGTTGGACACAAAGTTTGGTGCTGGTAGCATTTCTCTTTTAGTCACGGTTCGGCTTGTTCGCCTAGCCTCTTGGGCAGCCCGGGATCGAAAATCCTACGGTCGAGATTTTCTGGCCCTACTTTGGTCATCCCTCTGGCACTCTTCGGCCTCAGTTTGATCATTTCCCGAAAGTTGTCGAATGCTAAACCGGCCATCCAACCGGCCATCAATTTTTTATCAGGTGGCCAGATTGTGTGAAATTAACGAAATACCCTGCGAATGTCGTGAATGTGTAACCTTCGCTAGATCCGGCCGGCCGGATTTTTCCGACAATGGATCTGACGCACCCTTATAACTTTAGTTGTGAGAAACGTTGAGATAGCATTAGTACCCCGCCATGACTTCGTCCTTCAACCGGCGCTCCAGCTGGAACCGCCCATTTTTAGTCCAGTTCGCCCGCTTTGTTTTTTAAACGACGCCTCACGACTCATGCTACATGCGGCTCGCATCTAAGAAGGGCGTGCGTCCGGGTGTTAGGTAGATCCACGGGTCGCGAAAACAGCGCCGTTTTTCATTCTAGATTAGTTTTAGGGTCTTCTCAACAGAAATAGCGACTTCATCGCTCCACCATCGGATGCGCTGCGTGCCGACGCGTGGTAGATTGCGCGAAAGTGCTGCGGCTTGAGGGACCAGTCCGTACCGTTTTTAGCTTTTTGATATGTTTTTTGCCATTTTCAGTTTAGAGAAATTGATTGGCCCCCTCTTGCCACTGAGAGCCATAACCATTTGTGCGCTGTGGCCTTTGCATGCAGGTCCAGGGGTTGATGTTGAAGACATTGCATATATTTTAGACCATGGTTGTTATTCATCACCATTAAACTTAGACCCCTTTATTTCTTATCCATGCTTGCACCACAGGGTCAGAACTATACTCTAGGCTGTAGAGGGGCACTCCTTATGGGGTATAGCCTTGTTAGGTTTTGCCTATACAAACCTTGTACTGTTCTCATTATACTCATTCCTCGTTCTAAATTAAACATGGTTTCAGAGCAGGTTCCCTAGTGGGAACGTTTTTTTTAGGGCCCACCACGAACCTTTTTTTTTCTGCCCTGCCCGAAGCGCACTGCCGTGCCTGCCTGCCCCGTCACGCGCCTTGCGCCTGCCTACCCGCGCCCTCGAGCGCCTGCCCTGCCTGCGCCCTCGAGCGCCTGCCCTACCCGCGCCCTCGAGCGCCTGCCCTACTCGCGCCCTCGAGCGCCTGCCCGTCGCCCTGCCCTCCTGCACCCGTGAAGCCGCCCTTGGACCCCGCGGCGCTGCCCCTGGATCCCGCGACGCCGCCCCTGGACCCCGCGTCCCTGGACCCCGCGGTGCTGGACCCCGCTGCCCCTGGACCCCGCGGCGCTGGACCCCGCGGCGCTCGACCCCGCTGCCCTTGGACCCCGCTGCCCCTGGACCCCGCGGCACTGCCCCTGGACCCCGCGGCGCTGCCCCTGGACCCCGCGGCGCTGGACCCCGCTGCCCCTGGACCCCGCGACGCTGCCCCTGGACCCCGCGACGCCGCCCCTGGACCCCGCGACACCGCCCCTGGACCCCGCGACGCCGCCCCTGGACCCCGCGACGCCCCTGCGGGACCCGGGCGTCGCCCCTGCTCGTCGCGACGCCCCTACAGGACCCGCGCGGCGCCGCTCCTGCTCGTCGCGACGCCCCTGCGGGACCCGGGCGTCGCCCCTGCTCGTCGCAACGCCCCTGCGGGACCCGCGCGGCGCCGCTCCTGCTCGTCGCGACGCCCCTGCGGCACCCGCGCGACGTCGCCCCTGCTCGTCGCGGCGCCCCCTGGGTGTGTGAGAAAGAAGTGTTGGACTAGAAAGGAAAGGGAGTACAAGTACCTAACCCTAGAATTGTGTACCCCCTAAAGGCTAACCCACTGTAGCCTACACAAATACAACATATATAATGTTTGACACACCCCCATAGGCTAAGTGGGGGAGAGCAAGTGGTCACAAGACCAGTCAAAGCAAAACAAAGCAAGACAAGCTCAGGGTGGATCTCAAGGATACCACACAAATTCCGAGCACAAGCAAATGGTCACAAGACCAGTTCACATGCAGTTTGATAATAGAACAAGAGGTACAGTGATCACAACCTAGCAAGTGTAAGCATGCAGGTATATATATAGAGATCATAGTACAAGCAGAGTCAAGAAGTGAGCAAGTGAGGGAGAGTAGGCACAAGGCCTAGAACAGTACAGAAACGCTGATGATCACAAGGCTGAAGCGCCTTGGTGAACACATCAGCAGTGTTGGCCCGAGTGGCCACGTACGAGAGACGAAGCTGACCCCTCTACTGCAGCTCTCGCGCTAGGAAGTAGCGCAGAGCGATGTGCTTCGTTCTGTGCTCCAGTCTGTGCTCCTCACACAAGGCAATGGCTGCCTTGTTGTCGACGTACAGCACTGGAGGAGAACGAGGCCGCTCTCCAAGGTCGGTCAGCAGGTAGGTGAGCCAGCGTAGCTCCTTGGCCGCCATAGCTGTGGCGTAGATCTCAGCCTCACAACTGGAGCTGAGAACAGAAGAAGAGCGTGTAGAACGCCAGGAAACAGAGCCAGAGCCAAGGCTGAAGGTGTAACCCTGAGACGACCGCTGCGTAGCCTGGTCGTCAGCCCAAGAAGCGTCTGAGTGTCCAGTGAGGACAACGTCGCGCCGTCCTCCAAGCACAAGCCCCATGCCCGACGTACTGCACAGGTAACGCAACACCCTCTTAGCGGCATCCATGTGCTCCTTCCGGTGACGGCCAGGAGCGACATAGCGTGCTAGGATGCTAAGAGGGTATGCAAGGTCAGGTCTAGTGCAGGTCATCAGGTACATGAGGCAGCCCACAAGCTCTGGATACGGGCCACTCGGCTCTACGGACTCATCCGAAGGCAGAGCTGAGAGCGAGTGACCGGTAGGCAGAGGAGTGGGCTGAGGCGAGGAGTACGTGAAGCCGAAGCGCTGAAGGACCTGCTGCACCATGTGTGACTGAGTCAAGGTGATGGT